AACTCATAACATATAAACAACTCATAGTACACATACACAAACACAACTCACACATGCAACACAACATAAACACACACACATACAACACACTCACATATACACAACAAACAACAACACTCAAAGAATACTTCTAAAGCACCTTTTCTGATAGTTGGTCTAGGATCATATGTCAAGTTAGATAAACCTGAAAATGCATATTGTATAACTTATTAGAATAAATTCCAAAATTCCAGCAATGTAGAACTAGCAAGCATGAAAATAATAAATCCCAAAAACTATACCATCAAGTAAAGGTAGCCAAATGAAAGCATGATCATCTTTTTCAGTCAAATTATTTCCATCTGAAGCATCTCCATTTCGTAAATGACCATCAGAGTTCTTGTCGTAGCAAACCAATCCACCTTCTGCAAGTTTAACAGCACAGAAACGAAGAAATGCAATAGCATTGAGGCCTGCATCACTATTGAACCTGCTGTTTGTAAAAGCAATCAGGCACCTAGCACAGTCGATGAACGTTGTGGTTTCTGTCTCAGTTATAAAAGGAACATAATCCCTAACTATTTTCTCCATTGTCCCAAAAGCCAACAAAACAATTGTTTTGCGTTCATCAGCAGCAGCAATTGTAAAAACCTATTAACATGCAAGCAAGTTTAATCTTCAGTATAGATGAGAAAGTTACAAAATTCTAATTCAATATTTCACCAAAAAGGCCATTCTCATTTAAGGTAATCTCTGAAAGTAAGACCAGTATAAGCACATAGAACATAAGAAGTATAAAAAATAAAAAAATCAAACATACCATAAAAACACTTTTCCAACCAGATTTCACATGATTAACACGACCCAAAACCATATGTGAAACACATCGAACAATTAGTTCACGAATTTCGGAAGATACACTCTTCTGCGTAACAACCACAAAAGGTCTCAAAAATTCATTCTGAAAATTATAATTAGCAAGTTCCTCTCGCTCCAAAAACTTCATAGCCAACTACCGTAATGAATCCATTACAAAGATTACAACTGAAAGATTTTCTGACAATCCTACTGAAACAAAAAAATTCAGCAAGGACATTCCAGATGCGAGACCAAACCAATCGAATGCGATATCATATTATAATTCCTGCATGGATTAAATATGTATCAATGAGATCAAAGTGGGTAGCTTGTACACTTGTTTGAAGAAAACAAGACGCATCTGCAGACATAAATAAATCACTAAAAATACACTTACACAATTTCGATTATTTTTGTGAGGCAGAAAACTCGAGCATCTGTTGGAGATTGTAATTCTGTCATAGAAACCTTACAAAGGGCCCTCACAAAAGCTACAATTGCATCTCCATTCAATCTTTGGCTATGAGCAAATATGTGGTTTAGCTCAAAGCTACCAATATGATCCAACAGATTTAAGTTGGAAATATAGCTACTAATCTGATCAGGGGTAACCAAAGCAGAAGCTTTAATTCCCACAGATGCACTATCATAAGAATCACCTCGAACAACAGCCCTTACCGCTGGATTTTATAAAGCATTTCCTTTTCTCTTCATGGATGTAACGGTAAGTGTTTTCTGTGATCTTTCTTCTGATTCAGCGAGGGGTGCTGTAAAGAATGAAGCATCCTCTCCTAGCATGTGTAAGTGCTCAAACCGTGAAAGAC